AGAGGCAGGACCCAGACCCGGACTATGCCTAGGCAACCATTTCAGGACTAGGACCAGGACGGCCGCAGTTTTCGTTTAGGTGTTGAAACTTGTCCGCAACTCGCTGAATAATTCAAAGAGCAGAAAACTTTCTCTCATGCCCAGCCTCACATTTGATTAAATTTTAATGCCAGTGCATCATTAATAAATTCCCAGCGGGTGAGGCGGATGAATAAATTGAATTAGCGACGGGATGTGTCCGGCGGGGCCGCCTAATTCCCGCAGATTGTTTGACAAACTTTGGACAGGTTTGGCGCCGCAAAAGTGTCAGAACTAATTGTTCAAGTGCACGAAAATGTTGGAAGGAAGAGAAAAGGTAGAGGACAAAAGGACACGCGCATTGGCTTGGCATTCAAATGAAAATTTCATTATCCCGGAAGGCGAAACGGGAAACAGGAAAGCGGGAAAGCGGGAAAGCGGGAAAGCGGGAAAACGGGAGTGGAAATCAATTTGTCAGCGAGTGCGCTTCGCGACTTCATAATACAAATTGTCAGCAATTTAATAACATTTAAGCTGCCAGCCAGCCAGCCAGCCAGCCAGCGGTAACAATGATAAGCGAGGGCACAGACGCACACGCACACATACAGGGACAGACAGCACCAAGGACCTGCCGCAGGGGCATGAGTACTGGGGGTCCTTGTGGCAACCAAACCGCATTTACACTCACTTAACTCGACACGATTCGGAGGTCGCTTCGGTCCTCTAGTCTTTCAGTCCTCCAGTTCGGGGCTTGGCACTCGCTAAAGGAAGGAAAACAAAGCAAGGGGAAGCGACAGGGTTACGGGGAAACGGAAAAACGGCTTGTGTACAAGCTGCTTAAGGTCCTTAAGGACTCAGAAGTAGAGACCTACACACAAACGCACACTCGAGCAAATAAAGCTCTGCGAGCGATTTAAACACTTGTTGCATGGACAAAGGATAATGACGTGACAGGAAGGAGCACAGACACACACAGACACACCGCACGCCACACACACCACACCATAAGTAATAAAGCAAACAGCCAACGCGTTTTGTAATAAACTGCAAGACGGACACGGTAGCTGGAAGCCACGGGACATGTGTGGGGAAAGGTAAAGACACCTGCAGGCGCCTTACTCGCCTTGTCAATCGTTGCGTGAAAGGCATTGCAAATAGGCCGGGGGCGTGGCAACTAATCACAGGCCAAGGCACTCGCTGCCACCCTGCCATACACTCAAACAAATTTAATGCCCCCAAGAGGGTGGCCATAAAGTGCACATAAGTAGGCAATGTTCTCAGTTCACACTCTGCCCTGACTCGTGCCCTGCCCGAAGCTTAAGGGCCGCATAAAATTCAATTGCAGGTCATAAAAATTGCGCGTGATCTACATACAGAATATATAATTTAAAGCTGTAACTAATAAAATTGTCAGCGATAAGCGACGACGACAAACGAGGACGAGCTTTGATTTTTATGTTTGTGCCCCAACCTCCTCCAACCTCGGAGTGACAACAATTTGCCACCAAAGGCAATTTATTGGTTATGAGCCCGAGAGCCCAGCCCAGTCAAAGCGAGAGCAGCGCGAAATCTTATTTTAAATGTTTAGCGCTCTCGTTTTTATGGCATAATTTTCAGGCGTTTGTAGTTTGTGTCCCTTTTTTCTTTGCTGTGCGCTGCGGGGTTGTACAATTTGCATAAAAATTGCCATAGTTGAGGCCGTTCGTTTCTCTCTCTCCCTATCGCGTTCATCGCATTGCTTATGAATATTTCTGATGGCTAGGCAGGCGACAAGTTAACAAGAGGCTGCCAAGTGTCAAGTGGTCCTTTGCCCATTCCAAACTCTGGCAAAATCTGAATAAATTAGCCTGTGGGATAAGGATGGGATGGGATGGGATGGGTTTTGGTCATTTGTAGGACATGCTGATGGTCCTTTTATGAAGTGTTGATGTGACACTGAGATACTCCGACTGGGAGAATCATTTGATAAAAGTATAAATTGTAATGAAATTTTCTCTTATTTGTTTCGTTGCAGGATAAATCTGGTCGCTTCTAATCTAACATACATACAGTACATATAAATAGATATATAATTACAAAAATATATACGAGTATATATGCATTACACATAGAAACGAAGCATACAAATAATACCAATAATAACCAATAATTAGATGCTACAATTAGTGAAATTCTCTGCTGCAAAGAACGAATGAAAGTTGAATGAATGAGTTGGAAAGGCAAATGGGAAAAACAACTTCCTTGTGAGAGAGGTGAGCCTTTGAAAGCCGGTGAAAAGTCAGCACTAATGATGGAAAAACTGAAGAAATTGAATTGAAAATATGGTTAGTCAATAAGTTCAACTTTGTACATATTAATTTTAATAACCTTGACGTAATGCAACCAACAAACTATAATAATAATTATAAACAAAACGTAAAACGTACACTAAATGTTCGAAAAAAACCACCACTAAAAAGGGTCAAAAAAACAACAGGAAAATCTATGCAAAACAGAAATAAATCAAAAACAAAAATAATAACAAGAAGCATAAACAAAAAGCAGATAACAGATAAACCGAAAGAAATTAGCACAATTATGTAATAATTTATGCTTAATTAATGTATTTAATTGAAAATCTAATTGTAATTGTATATTTTTTCTAGAGAGAGACAGCAAACGAAACCCTTAATGAAAGAAACTTGTGTAAAAATTATGCTTAAGACTCGCAATGGAATACGTAAAATGTTCTCTGGTTAGTTAGTAGCTCTACCATAACCTACAACGCCTCCCTCCCCCCGTAAAGAATGCGATATTCACCTTTTGTTATATGAATATTGATGGCACACTTTAATAATAAACAACAATTAATTCAACCCCCATAAGCCCATTGAATGTAATTCACGAAATTTCAAATTACTATTAGTAAATGTAAATGTTGCCTGGCAAAAACCGTAGCAGAAACTCAAGAAAATCACACAATACCCAAACAAAAAATATAAGCAAAAAATGCTAATGCAAAAGCAGAAATCAGAAAACATTAAACACATACTTGCGCCTCATTGTGTACTATTATGGGCTAAATGTTAATTAATAACTAGATTGTACAATTCAAATGTAGTTCATACTATTTAAAACAAATGCAAAAACGGAGTGAAGATGAATAAATCGATGATTCAATTTAAGAAACAAATATTATGGAGCGTTAATTGGTTCGCCTGGAGAAGAACACTTTTTGGGATTCAATTTATCAACTGAACATTGGTCCGAGCTTGCGAAGACATTCGGAAGCCGCTTGCAGCACAGGTCGACTAAATGTAAATAGAATTGTGTTTTCTTGTAACAATTTTCTATATTTTATTCTTTACATAAATAACTTCAACTAATTGTATCATTGAACAGGCCGGTCTATCCACCGAAGCGATGGGTAAGCCCCAGACCAGCTCCAAAGTCTGTCCTTTGATTGGAGAATGGGCCACTCATCCACTTGCTGGCGGTTCCAGTCAGATCAATGTTCGTGTTGCGATCAGCCGAGGACCAGAGATTGGCACGAGCTTCGGCACCCAACTGACGACCGATGCCGGGGAAGTTGCTGTGCGTCACACTGGCACCATGACCATTGATGTGGGAGTAGTCCAGAGCGGCGCCATTGCGTTGGAACTCAAAGCCATTGGCCAGCTTGTTCTGCGAGGCAAACGCCTTGGCATCGAGATTGTGCACGCCGTCGTTGAAGAGATTGGCATGGACCTCCTGCTGGAAGGAGTCTTTCACTCCGGGAGTGTGGGTCCTGGTCACAGATGCACCATGGCCATTGCTGTGGAAAGAGAGGGAAACTAGTTAGATTGTGTGTCTGTCGGATGTGTTTTGTGATCCACTTACTTATTGTAGGCCGCAGTTCCGCCAACGGTGGCTGGACCCGATTTAGTGTTTCCAGCGGCAAAAGCCTGTACCACAGCATTGTGATCGGGAGTGCCAATCGCCTTGGTCAGATCCATACGGGCATCAGCGCCACCAGCCGGGTTTGATGCCAATGAGCCTCCCAGAACCTGGCGGCGGAAACGATGGCGGAATAGCGGTTTTGGAGGTGGGCTCTGGGGGAAAGGCCCGAACCGCTGAGGCATTGCCTCGGCTATGGCTCCCAGTGCAACAAGTGCCACAATTAGAATGATTCCCTTCTGCATGTTGAGTGTCTTTGGTGTTGTGTTGTGTTTGCTTTGGAACGAACGAACGCTGACTGATGCCTGATTGGGGCTCACCTTTCGCTTTTATAGCGTACGTTCTTCCCTACGCGAATACGTTTGAGGGGGGGATCACCTCGTCATCTTCCACCTTACATCTGCCTTATCAGCACGAAAATCCCCGCTCAGCATTCATTGTGTGCTTTACTTTGGTTACACCCTCCCTTAAGCCGCAAAAAAAATTGGAATAAGTGAAGCACAGCAACGATAGGTATGCTGAAAATAGTAGAATTCCGCACGAGCTGAGATTTGAAATGGGCTTCAACTATGCAGTTTAACTATGTTCAATTACAACTGTCAACTAAGAGATGGTCCACTATTGCCTTTACAGTACAAAATCGTGTGCATTGTATTGCCTCTCCGCAGACTCCGCAGACCACGAGATGGAAGGGCGGCTGCTTTAATAATGCAATTCTAGAAGTTCCGATTGTAACCTCTTTCGGTGGTGTGAACATCTACCTGAGGCTGCTATGAACTAGTTCATGTTGCACTGCTTGCAGTAGTTTGGATTCCGTACTGCTTTTTAGTAAATTTAACTGCCTTTTGTTGCTGTGCTTCACTTATTCCAAATTGTTTGCATCTAAAGGGAGGGTGGAACAAAAGTAAACCACACAAAGAACTCTGAGTGTGGATTTTGTTGCTGATAAGGCAGATGTAAGGTGGAAGATGACGAGGTGATCCCCTCCTCAAACGTATTCGCGTAGGGAAGAACGTACGCTATAAAAGCGAAAGGTGAGCCCCAATCAGGCATCAGTCAGCGTTCGGTCGTTCCAAAGCCAACACAACACAAAACAAAGCAAACTCAACATGCAGAAGGGAATCATTCTAATTGTGGCACTTGTTGCACTGGGAGCCATAGCCGAGGCAATGCCTCAGCGGTTCGGGCCTTTCCCCCAGAGCCCACCTCCAAAACCACTATTCCGCCATCGTTTCCGCCGCCAGGTTCTGGGAGGCTCATTGGCATCAAACCCGGCTGGTGGCGCTGATGCCCGTATGGATCTGACCAAGGCGATTGGCACTCCCGATCACAATGCTGTGGTCCAGGCTTTTGCCGCAGGAAACACTAAATCGGGTCCAGCCACCGTTGGCGGAACTGCGGCCTACAATAAGTAAGTAGATCACAAAACACATCCGACAGACACACAATCTAACTAGTTTCCCTCTCTTTCCACAGCAATGGCCATGGTGCATCTGTGACCAGGACCCACACTCCCGGAGTGAAAGACTCCTTCCAGCAGGAGGTCCATGCCAATCTCTTCAACGACGGCGTGCACAATCTCGATGCCAAGGCGTTTGCCTCGCAGAACAAGCTGGCCAATGGCTTTGAGTTCCAACGCAATGGCGCCGCTCTGGACTACTCCCACATCAATGGTCATGGTGCCAGTGTGACGCACAGCAACTTCCCCGGCATCGGTCGTCAGTTGGGTGCCGAAGCTCGTGCCAATCTCTGGTCCTCGGCTGATCGCAACACGAACATTGATCTGACTGGAACCGCCAGCAAGTGGATGAGTGGCCCATTCTCCAATCAAAGGACAGACTTTGGAGCTGGTCTGGGGCTTACCCATCGTTTCGGTGGATAGAGCGGCCTGTTCAATGATACAATTAGTTGAAGTTATTTATGTAAAGAATAAAATTTAGTATTTTGTTACCAGATACAATGCTCTTTGCATTTAATATGGGAGCTTCGATAATACTGAAGGCCTCTCCGCACACTACCCTCTACTTTTGTTAAATTTTTCCCGTTAAGCTGGAAGGGCTGCAGTTATGTAATTCTTATAATTGCTCCTTGTAGCATCTCTCGGTGGAGTGAAAGATGCAGCTCCATCTCCACTTTATACCAGTAACTATCAATGCTGGCTGCTATGAACTAGTTCCTGATGCACTGCTTGCAGACGATTGTATGTCGTACTGCTTTCACACCGCAACCGACTCGAGCAGCCTTCTCGATTTCTATAGCTTGGAATTGTATTCATGGGTGCAAGCTTTTGTCAGAAATAACATCAAATCATTCTGACAGAAGCTGGAAGCTCTAAATCCTTATAGTGCAAGCTATGCCCACAATGGCGCCACTGCGCCGTCATGTATATAGATGCTAGTAGTTCCAAAGAAAAGCGGCAGGGCTCAAAAGTAAAACTCTGTTATTGTTTCGTCCTCCAGCCTTTCCAGGAAGAAACGGAAATCCAGTGGCCTTGTGACTTCATCACTGATGATAGAAACTCAGAGATAAAGTGGAACTATCTAATAAGGGGTTACATTTAAAAAAGTTTAAAGATTAAGCCCCATTTGCCACATTTATACATATTTACATAGATGTACTCTTCAGTGATCATCTGAAAAGTAATGTTTACTTGTTCTCAAGTATTTAATGTAAATGCCTCTCTAAATCGGAATCAAAATACTGTTTATTTAATCAACCCATCCCCTTTGCCACACCCATTCGAGCATCAACTATATTCCGAGTGGAACAGCAAATAAATATCACTTCCCCATTCTGTCTTCCTCAGTTCGAGTGGAAGCTACTTCCACCTCCATCTGATTCCGTATGCGAAGCGCTGCGTCAACAAAGACTTACAACGCAGTTCAGCACCGTTTTCCTCTTGCACTCTCAGCTGATTGAACGTTGACCGCACTAGCACATGCATACAGCATAGATATACAGCATGCTGTTGCTCCTCACGAGAGGCCGGAAACTTTAAATTCTCTTGCACTCGAATAGGAAACTGTTGCTTAAAGTTTGGAGAGACAAGACAAACCGGCTGAGGGGCCAAGCCATTCATTTGGATACAGCTTTCGGTTTTTATGTCAGTTGCATTTCAAGCCTCGCTCGCAGCAGTCACAAGATCGGTTGAACCGAAATCAAATCGTAAACAAACAGAAACTGTATCAAACGCCAGACATTCCCCACCCACTTGTAAGTTATTCCCAAAGTTAAATAGTCACGTTTCAGTCAATTGCTCGAATTCGGCTTGGAATCGACGTGTTCTCAGTTTCGTTTGTGGTCAACTTTCTAAATGAAAAATGCAAATGGGCGTCTCAAAAGTGGGCACGTCATAAGCTTATCAACTTCCTGACTGACAGACGACAGCAAACACAAAGAAAGACAGAGAACGCGCTGCTAATTCTTAAATAGTTTTACTAAATCGTAACTGAAACGCTTTTCGCACAAGTCAGAGTCGCAAGTCAGGAGTCGGGTGCGGTGTCGCATAACCAATGAGATGAACAGCGATCGATGGCTAGTTCCTATCCCATTTTAAGATTTGTTTATGATATAATCTACCATAAGCGTGTGAATGCAATTTGCATTTTAAGTATCGAATGTGTCTAAGCCAAACAGAAATGATTGGCAATATTTTGCCACAGGCCTCTGGTTAGCTCTTGAGACTTTACCCGTGTGTGAACAACGCACCTTTGGTCAGGTCGGTTCTTGGCTATCGATCAGTGGCTTTCCAAACTCGTTTTGCCATTGTTTGATTTCACTTTTCATTGGGAAAACCTTTAAGCGGGCACAGAAATGGTTACTGGTCTGCGATTCTCGATATAATCAGATGCTTGGCATGCCAGGCAGGGCAAGAAAATGGCCTCTCAATTAAGTGAGTGAGTCACAAAGCCAGCGGCAAAAATCAGAGACACAGACACAGAGTCTGTCGGTTTGATGTGATATTTCTATATATACGCCACATGCGATGCGGCTCAGGTTTCAGTTGCCGATCGCCGTCAGTCGCACTGGAAGTACAAGCTTCGTAGCTCCGCGTAAAAAAGTCAACCAGCAACTCAAATTGACGACAATTGCTGTGGAAATTGGTAAATTGTTCAATTAACTGAATGAAGGCAGAAGAAACTTACAGATGGATAACAAAAAGTGGGATTAACTCAGGAATTTCTTCCTGAAAGTGAACCAAATAATAGCTACTGGCCCCCACAAGAATCAGAGTGTCAATCAATCTATTTAATGGCAGATCTGATGTGTTAGATCTCCCATTTTATGTGACTTGTGTTGTCAGGTGTAATTGGTTGACTTTCAGACTCCGATTTTTCAGTTTGTTTGCATGATTTTCGTGCTTTTAAGTCAAGGTCGATCTTTAGAGACGAGTGCAACCGGTTTTGGCCTCGACGCGAGGCTTGATAACAGTCCAAAGCTCTCGAGGCCTCTGGCCACAGCCAAAGTAGTTGACCAGCAATTAGCGACCTGTCGTTAAATCCATATCACTTCTCTTACAATTAGAAACAAGTCAAAGTGCTAGCAGCAAAATGAAGCTCACCTCTGGATTGTTTTTGATCTGCGCCGCCCTGCTGGGATTCTCGACAGCCACTGAGGTCAGGCCCTGCCCAAATGGTGAGTATAAACGGAGAGTAATCTTAGGAATATGGGCACTAAATCTATGTTCAACCCACAGCCAAGTCCAAGGCCCTGAGCTCCAGTGAGGTGTCCATCTCGAATTGCCCCAAGAATCGCTGCATACTGAAGCGCAACACGGAGGCCAGCATCATGATGAAGATCCGACCGGAGCGCGACTTCCAGGAGCTCACCTCGGACATACAGGGCATCATTTTGGATGTGCCACTGCCCTTCCCCGGCTACTACGGCACCAGTGCCTGTCCGCATATCTACGACGAGGCTGGCGAGAAGAAGGTGGGCTGCCCCCTGAAGGCCGGAGAGACCTACACTTACAAGAACAGCTTCAAAATACTGCCTGTTTATCCCACCGTCAGCCTAGAGATTCACTGGGGGCTGGGCGACAAGCAGGGCGATGCGGCCTGCTTCCAAGTGCCCGCCAAGATCAAAGCCTAAGCCAAAGCGAGTGCGATGTTAGCGTTTATTAAGGTTGAATCTCTTAAAATCGTATCTGCATATCATAGTTTAGGGATTAAGTACGGTTAAGTGAATGTGAAAGCAAAGTTCTTCGATATGGCAATGGCATCCACTTCATTTTCCAATATTGCGGCATCCAGCCAGTGACGCAATATTGTGTGCCTAAAGAAGAGGACCCCTGATAACGTATGTATGTATGTATGTAATAATAAAAACAAACAACAAGTATTACGAATAGATTTCATTTACAATTTGGAATGCTATTAAATGGAACACTCCCCCAATTAACCTGACCTGCGCTCTCATCTCTCTCTCTCTGTTAATTATTTATGCAATTTATTCTTAATTGATGCCCAACATGCAATTGCTGGTGGTGCAGTAAATATCTTTTCATTCTTCGTTTTGTTTTTAGTCGCTTTTCCGCATAGTTTTGGCAATTAAATTAAGTATACGCCTGGGTGGGGCAATGTTCACTTCTTGAGTTCATAGAGATCGCTGAGAGTCTGTTGCTGCTGCTCGGCCTCAGCCTCGGTCTCTCCCTGAGCTTGGGCCTGTGCCATTATGAGTGCCTGCTGCAATTTGCGCCAACTCTCGGCGGCTGCATCGTACTGTCCGCCGCCTCTGGCCGCCAGTCGTGACTGTTGATAGCGATGCTGTTGCCTCATCAGTTGCGTCCACTTCAGATCGTTGGCCTCATGGTTGCGATGATTCCTATTTCGTTCCTCGGGCCCGCCACTTTGTGCAGTGGCTCTCGGCGGCATGTTGTTGTTCAGGCTGATGTTGTTGCTGTTGTTGGTCTCGTCATCGGTGTCTTCGGGATTGTTGTTGTTATAGAGCTGCTCAGCCAGAGTTTCCACAGGATTGCCGACAGTCTGCGGGCAACAAAAGGAGTCAAGAAATACACCCAAACCATGAGCTGCATTCCATCTTACCTTGGCTGCAACAATTGCGGCCTTGCCACCGGAACGCTTGCCGTGAGCTGAGAAAAAAAGACCACAAAGTGTGAAGGAAAATCGATGGACTACTCCGCGAAACACTCACCTCCCCAGCAGGAGTGTCCGTATTCCAGACATGAACCTGAAAGTATGAAACATATTTTCCTATTTAGAATAAATCATCATCTTCATAGGATCCACATTGACAGAGCTAAGACTCTGTGTGCGCGCATAAATTTATGAGCAAATGAGCCACAGGCCAGACCCCGTGCTGAGCATAGGGCAAAAGTTCTACTTTAAAGAGGAAAAGTAAGGAAAAGATGAGCCACAGGCAACAGTTGATGCTGCAGTTGTTTATTGTGTGCTTGGCTTGGCTGCTAATGTCGCGAGCCATGATAAATGCGACCATTATGGCACGGCACTCATATGCCAGAGTCAGAGTCAGAGCATAGGGTTGAGTAATGCACTCAGGCGGAGGTGTTAGGTGTGGGAGTAGCCCCATCAACATCATCATCCTACCTGTAGCTCTATGCTGTTGCTCTTATACAACGTGTCCTTGATGCGACAAACTCTTGCTCTGCTCTTGCATTGGGCCACACAATGCCCAAAAGAGTCAAGCCAAGACCAGAACTAATCACACAAATGGACGGCAAAGCATCACAGAAGGCGTCAGCAATGAAAGGCACAGCTGGGACATGGACGGACACTGGGACACTTGGATACGGATATGTGAATACGCTTTTGCGCAACACTGTCACTCCAGTGAAAGTGTGTGTGAATGGAGGCAGCATGGCATAGGATAGAAGATCTCCGGGTTACACAAAAGCAACAGCAGGAGCAGCAGCAGCAACAAGTTCCATGACGCAGATGGCTGACAATTGGCCTGGTTATAAGCGTGGATAGGGAATAGTGGATGGGGATGTGGATGGGTTGTGGTGCTGGTGCTGGTGTGAGGACTATAAGGGGTGTTTGCATAAGCCAAGATAAATATAGATGTCAGGCCAGACGTTTCTATCATGACTCCTCCTCCGTTCGGCTGTTGCTACCCTGGCCATATATCAAACATGTAATCATTTGTCAATTACTTAAACCGTGGATTAATTGTTGCCGGGCACTCACAGATACACCAATACAACCCACACGCACACTTGTTGTTGACAGGCATAGAGGCCATCAGAGATAGCGTAGGGCCAGCGCTCGAAGCCTTTTGGGACGCCGCATCGAAGGGCTGTCATTAAACGAAGGCTCCGTTTAACAGCCGCCCACCGCCATCACCCACCACAGTCGCTCCCTGCCTTCGAGCCTTTCACCATCACCTAATTAGCGTGACCCTCACTTTTAATGGCCACATCCTTGATCTTGGTCAGCGCTGAAATCGCGTTGGCGTCTTCACTCCAGGGTAATGTCTTTTTTTAATAGCCTCACCTCAAAACAATCTGCTTGAACCCCACTTTTAATGGTTTGTTTTGCCCAAGTACCCTAAGTGAAGTGTTGCTACAAATATCCGATGGAGACCATCAAATGTCTGAGTTTGCTGTAATTGGTTTGGGGATTCACCAGCATGTGGTAGAGTTGATTTGTATCATTTGTGGCACATACATTTGCCCATGAGCATCATTGTAGAGGGATTTGTTTTGTCTTACAATATTATTGGCTGGGAGCAGTTGTCAGACCTAAAATTGCTTTATGATTGCTTTATGGGTAGTCTTTTCAGTTATTAAAATATATATATATATATTTAGAAGGGGTCTGTTCGTTTATTCCATTCTCCATCTCATCAATTGTTTATAGAACCCTCATCACAAACCAGTCCCTTGTAAGCTAATTGAACTTTTACATAAAATCATTTGCATGAGATCATAGAGTGTCTATTAAAGTTATCATTGCCATATACTCGAGGCAGACAATGCTAGAACTACTTATCATTATTTATATTTAGATTTATGAGATTAAGTTAATTAATTGAATTGGAGAGACCTTCTTTATTAATCAGTAACAGTTCTATTTGATCTCTCCAACCTGAACCTAGCCCAATCGGCATGCACATCATTTTTTAGTTTCACCTTCATCCATGGAAACGCCCAACTCGTCGTAGCTCTTGACTATGCCCCAATATCTGCCTCCACCCCACTGTCAGCAACAGGAGAGGGTGGAAGGGAACATGGGACATGGAGTGCCCACCCACAACTGCAATGCCTGCAAGCGGCACAGCTTGATGGGTTCACACGTTCGCTTTGGGTTTTTTCCCGCTGAATTTCCCGCTCTTCTCCATTTCCACCGTGGCTGTGCCGCTTCTGACGTTCCATTGTCGGTTGCCGGTTGTTATTTGGTACGCAGTTTGGATTAATTTACGACAGCAATTGAAAGCGTCGACGCATTTGGGGGGAGTGGCCCAAAGTGGTAAACCCAGCCCCCCTCCGCCCGTGATCTCTGCTCCATGCTGCTCCATGTTCTTTACACTCTGATCCCCTGCTGTCCTACCTTTGCGGTGAGTAAGAAATGTGGGCAGAAAACCCAAAAAGGAAGCCGCTCAACCAGCGGACAAAGGCGTATCAACAGGAAAATGTGCATAAAACTGAAGCTGATAAGACGGATTAGAGGCCATGGGAGGACATGGGGAGTGCAGGATTAGGGAATGGCAAAACCAGAGTATCGCTTGTTAATCAGTTGGTAGTTTGGTATTTTTATGGCGCAGATAGGCCAGGAATTTCCAAGAAACAATTGCGATCATGACGCAGCAACAGCAAGTGACGAAACCGGAAATAAGAATTTCACCATTTGCACTGGCCCAAAAGTATGCCTCAGAAAAGGGAAACATTCTTTTCCACTGATATTTAAACCTTTTTAATGGAGTTTAAAGCAAAGCAATGGGAATTTTTTTTGTGGCGAATTTAATAATATTTATTCTAGAATTTTCGGATATTATTTTACCTGTCACCAGGGCAAAGAGTGCCATAAAAACCAACAAAGTCCAACTGCACTTCATGTACCACATTTTCAAGCAATTAATTTCCAAAAATATGCACTTAAAACCGTTTTGAATTTGTAATTTTTGAATGTCTCTTCTAATTTGGGATATTTTGTAAAACTTTGTGAACTCTTTGACTTTTGGCTGAAACTTTTGCTCAACTTTCTGCACTTTTGTACTTCCTGCACTTGTTGATCAGAGTTTGCTCCCAACACTTTTCGAATTGCCAACAAAATGTGGTCGACCAGCGGCTTTTATAGCTACTCGTAGAGGAGGCATGCAACCAGCATGGTACCATTAGAGCGCCAAAAGATAACACGGATAGCCAATGCAGAGCCCGAAACACGAGTCGGACACTCGGGCACGAAGAAAGACGAGGCCAGCGCCGCCCGCCAATGAGCATAGAGAGAGGCGCCCACGCAACAGGCTGCCTGCCTGCCCCATGGACAGCAGTGTGTCGCAGAGTGGGTTGGCATGTGGCTGATGCTTGTGTTGGTGTTGGTGTTGCTGCTGCTGGTGTGCCAGGTGCGTAGTCGGAGAGGAGTCAGTCCAGTCTCCACACCTCTCACAGGTCGACTATAAAACACGGCGAAGTTGCTGCAGTTGGACCCCCCACGCAAAAAGAGTTTATTTTGTGGCTGACGTCAAGGATTAACTTTTAATTATAGTGGAAAATGTGCAAGGTGCTAAAATCCTTTAGGGTTGTCAAATGTCAAAAATATTTCACAATCACAAATTTCCCAATTAAATGCAAGTTATCTGAATGTTTTGCTGAGCGCTTTTCTTGCCTGGCTTCCACCAGTGAATTACAAAGTCCAATAAACATATTTCAGTGTAGGTATTTTATTTCAAAGCTTTGTTTTGTAGTGTAACATAAGAGTATCAAAGTGTATCAAGGACTTGTACCAAATAAGCATTCAACACATGATAATCATTTAACTTCGAACGCAAGTAGCGAAATGGAAAAATGGAAAAATGGTAACTTATTTTGTAGGTTTCGGTGTTGGTTTGTGTACGTGTTTGTGTGTATATTGGTATGTCTCCACACCCTCCTTCTCCAGCTTGGCCAGGATGTCGTGTACGTGTACGTGTATGTGTAGACGTTGGGATCTCTCCATCCCATCCCTTACTCCAGCTTGGCTAGGATGTCGCTCTCGCGGAAGAGCACGTACTCTCTCTTGTCGTCCATGTCCACCTTGGTGCCCCCGTACTTGGGCAACAGGACACGATCGCCCTCCTTGACGGCGACGGACAGGTGGCCAGCACCAGCAGGGTTACGGGCTCCGGGTCCAACGGCCACTACCAAGCCCTGCATCTCCTTGGGCACCGACTCCTCGGGCAACAGTATGCCACCAGCAGTGGTAGTCTTCACCTCGAAGCGCTGAATCAGTATGCGGTCCAGCATGGGAATGACCTTCTTAATAGCGTTGGCCATCTGAAAGTTTTCCCAAAATCTTTAATAATTTTTGTTCACAAATTATTAGATTTAGAATTCTTACTTTTACTGCCAGAAAAATATTTTTTTGATTTTAAAATTGTTTTTCTGTTCACGATGTGCTTCGTTCCGCTCTCTACTGAGTACTGGATTTTTCATATAACTTTTCAGTCCTACACATGAATGTTTTTCACATGAAAAAAGCCCAGGCTACTGCGATTGAGAAAATTCAAAGAATTCAAAGTCAAAGTTTTAGTTGGTAGTGTTAAAATGGGAATTTCTTCCTAACAAAAGTTTTCTTTAATTGTTTAGCCCGAATATTGTTGTTGTTGGGGATTTTATTGTACATATAACGAGATGTGGTATAAACCAATAAATTGTACAATTTAATTATTTAGCAGATAGTTAATTCCGACAAACATGGTCCACCCAAAGCGAACCGCATAGCTGCCTAGTCGCTGCTTGGTGGCTCGTTCCTTGTCCGTTATGTTTTTTTTTTCTTTGATTAATTCCCACGCCGGCATCAACGCCACCTGTTGGCAGTTGAGCTTACTAAGCTTAACAATGGTTGTGAGGGGGAATGTTTTGCCTTGTAGTTTTTCGTTCTCTATTGTTCTGCTGGTTCTTCCTGCTCTCTCTCGCGCTCCCTCTCTCTCGCTCTGTGTCTGTGTGTGAGGCTTCCTTCCTGTCTTGTGTATGTGTTTGTGTGTTGTACGTGCTTCAGTGCGTGTGGTTGTATGTGTACGGGTGGGTTGTGTTTGTCTAAACTTGTAGCGCGTTAAATGCTCTTAGAAATTTTTGTTTTCCATAACTTTGCCCAGAGCTTTCTTTTTATATCCCCGCATTATACACAGGGGTGCTGCTTTTATGAATTCAATGATGAAATGAATGTTGTTTTGAAATTTTATGGTATAATGTATAATATTCTTGGTCCAACCAAAAATCTCCGTGAGTAAATTTGTTGACTAAAAATATGATCAGAACCTTATTTTTGTTACAAAGATGGTTTTAGATACGAGATGCTTTCGTTAAAAGTCAACTATGATATAGTGAAGCCAACGATGATGTCGTAATGACAGTCCTTGAGCAAATATTACATATGTTAAGATAATTCCACAAAAGTTCAATTTTTAAGGGATTTAGGCCAAACATAATTAATCAGTAAATCAGAACAATATCATATCTCATCATAGAAACAATTTCAAGCAAGAAAATACTTTTTCCCTTATGAAGATAGTCCAACAAGGCGTTACAAATATAAGTAAGATCAAAAAGGAATTAGTAAACCAATCCTCTAGCTGCCACAGAACCTACTTACTTATATACATACAACCGCAAGGGTATCTAAACCATCGTTACTCAAAGCTCACCATTTTTTCCGCGTTTTTCTTCCTGCTGCTCGTAAATCACAAAACTTCATAATTTCTACGTCATTTTTGCAGGCATGTGTGTCTGGGATATATATTTGCTCGGCTTTACGTGGCGTTGGTGGAACGAGCAATTTTGTGTGGTTTTTATCCGTCCGACTGTTTCACTCTCCCTTTTTTGTTGTGGGCTCCTTAATGGCCCGCTGCGCTTTGGACTTTGACGTACTAACTCCTGGTGACGGACGGGCAGCTCCTCTATGCAATTTGAGTGAAGTTCTACGCTGTCTACGCGGTACAAATCATACGGGGGGCACTGGCATCCATTTGGCTGATTGCATTTTCATAACAATTTGCAGGATTACTAATGCGCCACGGAGTCCGTGCATTTGCATGACCTTGAACCATCTGCCCGGCACCTCATTAGAATTTCATTTGTAGTCGGGCAGACGACAGGGCCACAATCGATACAAAAAAGCCAAATATATTTATGGCCAAATTACATTTGCAGCGAAAGCACGGCGAATCCTTAGTAGTTGCCAAAGGGCCAGAGACACGGGGATGCGGAAAAAAAGCCAAAATGGCTATGGGAATATGCTAAGTTTTGTTTGTGGAATAATTCGGATATATCGTTCATTATAATTCCCCAAGGGTTCTCTCCCTTCCCATTGATTCAACAACGTTGCCTGTTCAATAAAGTCAATGCATTATAATCAATCTTTAAATACATTTTGATGATAATTCGCTGGGTTCAGGGTTGTTGAATGGAATAGACACAGAAATTAAGGCAAGCAAGGAATATATTTTCCAGTATAACTTTCACAGTGTGGTTATACCTTATTGACTGTGTTTAAATAATGCATTTTAATGTTATAATTATATCATTTCCTGAAATTGCTTTTAAAAAGGGTCAATGACCCTCGAATATTTGTGCCACATTTTCTTTTTTCGTTTGCTTTAAGCATATTTACTTAGACATATCTCGAAGCTTTAGTTGCTTTATATATTATAGAATTATTCTTGAGTTGGAAAAGCTTTACTTTCCAGTGTTAATGCCCACTAGGCGTGTTGCCATTAAGTTAATTGTAGAGAGCAAAGCACATTGAATACTATTCTTAAAAGTAAATAGCCGTAAATCTTAATGCTCGAAAGACTAGCTCTGACACTGACTTTGGTTGTGATTCTGAAACTGAATCTGAATCTGGATGAATGAAAATCTTTATAGTAGTTAAATATATAGACAGAGATAGAGAGTAATTAAGGTCTAATTGCAAGGCAAATTAATGCAAATGCAGGTTGTACTAAAACGCTTTGGTGGCAACAGCAACAGCAGCAGCAGGCCATAGCAGTGGAATCAGTAAAGACAAAAACAAGTGGCTAACTAAGAATCTGGCTTAAATAATATTCAAATAAATTAGCATTAGGATGCAAGCGGCGCGGTGAGCTAGATGGAGATTGAGTTACCGCCTCCAGTCCGCCTCTAGTTGCTCTGGGCATTGATCATGGCATACTGGGAGGCGAGCTGCGGCTTGGCCAGGGCCAGACGATCATGCAGCGGGGTCTGACAGAGAGAGAGAGAGAGAGAGAGTTTATTCGATAGGTACTTAATTGATAGATTGCAGGGTAAGACAGCTGGAGACAACCCACCTGTGTTAGTGGCTGTTTCGACTGTTGCGCCTCCGCCGACTCTATGGAGACGCGTTGCGTCTGGCTGGAGGAGTTGTGAGCTCTCCTCAATCGCTGCGACTCGATGTGATGGCGGGAGTTCAGCGAACCCTTTGACAACTTCTTGCCAAAGAGCACGGCCTGCAAAGAGGAAAAGCTATTGGATGATCCTGTGCAATAGAACATGATCCCTACCTTGAAGGCCTCGCGGAACTTGTTGCTCATGATGTTGTAGAGCAGCGGATTGATGCAGGTGGAGAGATAGTAGAGCACACCGGAGATGTAGGTCATCACCGTGTAGAGGAGTTCGTGCTGTTCGTGCAGCTTAGCGCCACGGGCGGGGGCATAGATGGCAATCAGACGCTGGGCATGGAAGGGGGCCCAGCAAATAAAGAAGCAGACCACCACAGCAACTGCCAGGAGACAGATAAAGAGTGAATGAAATGTTGGAGTACTTTGGACGTTTGTTTTTTTTTTTTTTGGCAATCGCCATAAACATAAATGAGAAACGAGCAACGACAATTGCCAAATGACAAACGCAATAAATTGGGCGGAGAGCGACTGATTAAAAAGCTTAGGACGATTAGGGGCATATGGTACCCATATGATGTCCCGATGTCTGGTCTGGCCCAGGGGTGAATAATTACCGAGCATCCTCAGCACACGCCGTGTGCCATAGTGATTGAGTCGGCCCCGCACGGAGCTCAGCTGGGCGCCCGAGCCGCCGCCATTGATGTTCACCGCAGAGTTGGAGCCCGCGTAGCGGTACAGGATGGTGTCCGATTGCACATTCTTCAGCTGTGGTCTCCGAGATGGAGCTAGAGCTGGGGCCGGGCCATCGCTCAGGTTGGAGCGGTAGAGCTGCAAGCCGATCAGCAGATAGAGCACAAAGATGATGGACATGGGCGCAAAGAAGAAGATGAAGGTGGAGAGCTGGAACGAGTGCTCGACGATGACGCGCACCACCACGCACTTGTCCACGCCCGCGTAGCTGTTGATGCCGAATTGGGCAGCCTGCGGGATGGCTGTGAGCACGGCCAGGGCCCAGACGAGACCGATGATGCGGATGGCACGACTCAGCTTGCTCATGGCCTGCCCCAGGAACGGGTGGCAAATGGCTATGTAGCGCTCCACGGTGAAGGCGGTGATGGTCAGGACGGTGGCATTGGCCGAGGTTTCGGCCAGCAGACCGCGTCCCAGGCAGAAGTACTCGCCAAAGACGTACGGATACTTGGACCAGATGAACCACACCTCCTGCGGCACGCCCGAGAGCAGCAGCAGGAAATCGGAGATGGCCAGCGAGAAGAGGTAATAGTTGGTGGCCGTGTGCATCGAGCGGTTCTTCTTGATCACGATGCAGGTGCTGATGTTGCCCACCACGCCGCTGAGGAAGATCAGCGAGTAGACGACCGTAACCGGCACCACAATTGACAGCGGATCGCGTGCCGGTCCCAGCAGTTGGCTCACATTCCCTGCCGTCCACAGTGGCCCGTTGTCGTCGTCGGTGGCGCTGGCGCTGACGCTGGCCAGGATCTCCGATTCGATATCGGAGTCGGGCATATTCCTGTGCGTTTGCTGGAACTGGAACTTTTCCCCTTACGAAAGCGGCTTTTGTTTTCACAAAATTTCCACTAGCTGCGACAAATTCCGATGCCGTTTATCTGCCTGCGGCTATGTCCCCCCCAACTATGCTAATTATAATAATTCGATGACGCGAACGGAGACTCATCCAGCGACTAGTCTGACTCGAAGCGTCTTGAAACTCTCTCGACTGTCACTGGCACTGGCACTGCCACTGGCACGCAAACGCACCAAATTACCAAGCGGCGAGGTCGATCCCCGATCCCCTGTACCGTTCCCGGTGACAATATTCCGTATTCCGTAGTCCGTTCCCGTCACTGCACTCGCACCCGGACGTTGACTTGTCTCTGATTTTGGAGGCACGTCGCTTACACAGCTCTCGACTCGAATTGTAAACACAGCGGCACAGAGCGAATCAAGTTTTGGAGTCCGTGTCCGTGTCTGTGTCCCGTCTCCATTCAGCAGCAACCGTACTCCAGCGCGCTCCGAACTTATCTGATAAGCAGCGGCGACATTTCATTCAGATTTGTATCTAAAAGCTAGCCACGAAGCGTCGCAGTTTTCCCTCACATGAGAGAGAGTAACGTGCGCGACATTGTGCTCCGACTAAGTGCTTGAACGAAATTGGCAAAAGGAAATGTGTAATGGATGTATGAGTGTATGGAGAAGGTAGACATTTTTTAAAGATGTGTTCTTATAAATTTAATATACAGTTTTTATTACATTTAAACCAACACAAGAATTATAAATAACTACCGAAATTCTGTAATAGATTTGTTATACCATCACTACAAGTATTTCCTACTAAATAAAGCAACTTCCCTTTGTCAAAAGAGGAGACCTTATAGTGTAAGTTTCATCTATGCGTAGCTGTCAATCGGCATATTAATAGCAAAATCCACATCGATAAAGCCAAAGAGCAAATCTTACATACTGCAACTTCGAGTCTTTTATCCGTGACATTCTATCACAATCCTGTTAGTTATTCCACGCACCTTACATTCACATTTATGAAACCGTCTCGCCCCGTGCTGGCACCCATCTTCTGTGTGTGTGTGTATTTTGGCAACCATATTTCATAGTGGCTATGGAGCAGGCAACTTTCGGGGCATTATCCACAAAGAGCAGCCACACGCTGGCAGTGGCGCTGGGAAAACTGGCAAAAAGTTGCCCCGAATGCGTTTTGTCATAGGTCTCTGTAGCTACACGCCGCCGACGAGTGACATTTCTCTATGGCCACATAATATTTTCATTCATTTGCTACGTTTCGTTTAGCACGATGCTAAGTGAGGACTGCCACTCCGTCCGTGTCTAGACCCCCCGTAACCCACCACTCCAACCCCCGATAATCAGGTACACCGCATGCCCCCCATCAAGTTCTGGTCACACGCCCCGTCGATGGGTGTCAAAGTGCGTGCGGTGGAGTGAGGTGCCTGTGGAATTTGGCACGAGCCAAACGAACACGGATGGTTGTCGCTTGGGGAAGCTTTTTGCTTGCAGCCGACGAGAGACACGACACGACGAGCGAGCTTGAAAAGCTTTTGCCAACTGCATGCGAAGGGTGGGTGGGAAGAGTGCCAACAATCAACGACATCCAATTGAATGATGAATGAATGAAAGCTCAAGGGTGCACTAGTGAATACTCCATAAAAACAAACACAGCGGAAGTGTTTCTAACATTCAAAAGGTTATGCATGTTTTTTAAGTTCTTCAAAAGTAGTAGAGTAAATATGTACGTAGGATATTCCTTAAACTATGCCCCCTTTCAGGGTTATTATTATTCGATTATTATTATCTTGTAACTTAATTCATAATCTCCATTTCTTTTCCAATAAACGTTCCAAAAATGTTGGCGTAAAGTAAAGTTATTTAAAAGGTTTTCATCCAAAAATTAAATTATTTCCTATCTGCTTGCACTTCAGCCCAATATCAAACGATTTGACTTAAAATTCACAAAAAATTTCACTTAACTTTAAGGACTATGTTTGTATACGTTTCTATATGTATGCGTTTATGTTGTGCTTGAACTTGACCGTCCTTGAATTACTTATGCTACCAGCCTCTTTCGTTTATCAAGCTCGAAACCTCGCAAATGTATTGGAATCCTGCGATTATAATGGCTCCTCAAGTGAGCGGCACCTTTCATCGGCTGCCTACAGCCTTGATGCATTCATTGACTATAATTCGTATAGAATAGACACAAAAGCGTATATATAATTGTGCTGCATGTCGATCCACCAGACAATACGAGTACATATATCGTGAGTAGATAAAATCTTGTTATTGATTAACTTAGAGTCTTAATCTGGTTCAAACAGTGTATAGCTGTCTCTAGTATTGCACAATCCGAAAGTGTTTGGTCAGCATATGGGATATGAGACCAGGTCGATCCTCGTTTGGGGTATTATTGAACTTTGAAATGTTTTGGTTAGATGGGTTCGTGTTGGAGGTACGTGGTGTGTGTGGCGATATTTGGCTTGTGTTGTGGCTGATCTGAAGCTACAGATCAATGGGAGATTACAACTTCTAGATTTCACCTTTAAGAATTTATACACGATTGTGCAGTGATAGCGGATTAGTATCTTTATAGACCTATAGACGTACATATATACGATGGACGCTTTGCTTCATCATATTTCACTGGGCTGCCTTCTGTTCTGTTCTCAAACATCGACTTCGATTACCTCAACGTCAGCATCCTCTTCATCGTCGCTGCCGTAATAGCCCTGTCTCCCCCAGTTGTAGGGAAGAACCCTGACATCCTGTCAGTGAATGTACCTCTCCTGCTATAGCAGCACCTGCTTCATTTGCGGTCGGTGCTTCTCGAGCAGCCGCATGGCCTGCTCCTGGTCCATGCCATCGATGGAGCATGCAATTAGCTCCACCATGTTGTGCCCATGCCTCAGTATGTGGTGAATCGACTGCAGCGTGAGTCGCATGCAGTTGCTTATGTTGATGCTTCGCAGGCGCTTAAAATTACGCAAAAAGTTTCTCACAGTGTCATCGTCCACCTTCATACAGCTGGACACGCACAGCGTTTCGATGGCCGGTGCGTTGTGGGTCAGCGCCTCGAAGCCTTCCGGGTAGAAGAACGAGCAATAGCCCAGCGAGAGGATACGTAGCTCTGGCAGAATCAGTGCCTCCTTCAGGACACGATCCGTTAAGTTCTTGCAGCCTCGCAGGTTCAGCTCACGTAGTCCCCGGAGACGGGTGATGGCATAGGGAAAGTCTGGGGTGCCCAAGAAGCCTTTGTCCGTGATCTTGATGCAGTATTCGATGTTGAGTTGGCGCAAACCAGTCTGGTACTTGCAGATGAGGGACATGGCGCGGTCGGTCACTGCCTGCCGACAGTTGTCCAGGCTGAGGCGACGCAGGTTATAGAGTCGCACGAGCAGCTCGCACAGGGACTCCTCGTCGATGAAGCAGACCTCCTCCAGATGCAGCTCCTGGATTATGTAGTTGGGCGTGTGGGCAATCCCCTTGAGTAGGGCCACACCGGTCAGCTCTCGACAGTAGGCCATGGTCAGGCACTTCAGCTGGCCGCTTAGCTGGCGCAGAGCATCGATGCAGGCGCAGTTTAGCTGCACGCAGAACATGAGGTCCAGGGACTTGAGTGAGAACTCCCACTTGGAGGCCACATACAGGAGCAGTTCGTTGGTCAGCGAGAGCATGCCGGTGAGGTCCAATTGGCGCAACGGAGCGACCGCCGGCACCGACATAAGTATGGCCTCCAGCAGGAGGAGGTGACAGTTGCCCGACAGCTTCAGGACGCTGAGGTTGCGCATGGACCCAAAAGCCAGACTCCACGGCAGCGTTTCGACGCTGGGCGAGCAACTGAAGAATATGTCAATGTACTCCAACGTCTTGGCATGGTCCCGCAGCACTGCCACCAGAACTTCCTCGTTGTCGTGCGTGAACTCAAACTGCAGGTGACGCAGTTGCACTCTGTTTGCGGGTTTCCTCAGCTGCAGCAGCATGCTCAGCTTCAGCGCCGAGTCCAGGCTAACGCCGTCACACTCGAAGGCCTCCAGATTGATGAACTGCTTCAGGTTGATCCCAATATTATCGTCAAGCACGGTGGTCGCGGCTATCGTCAACACCTTCAGGTTGGGCATTTTTCCGTTAATGTTGCGAAAGACGGGCGCGTGGCTCACTTGCAGATGCCTCACGTCCGGGCCGACCAGCTTCAGGAAGCTATCCAGCTTGGGGGACTGCTTCAGGTTGCGTAGCTCGATCCGCTCGAAGCTCAGCTTCGAAGGTGCATTCTCCACGTGATCCTTGATCGCCGCCAGATTGTGCCTGGTTATAATCACCTTGCCCTGGGACATGAACTTGCGACGGTTAACGAGTTCGCGACAGTGCCAGGACACCATCCGCAGCTGCTTGAGATCGTTGTAGGACAGATAGGACATGACCTCCAGCCACATCTCGTTGGGCAGCATATCGATGGGGACTTGAATCTTCCTCACTGTCCTGCGATCCTTCTTCTCCGGCGAGCGTGGCGGCGAACCCGACGAGCCCTTGTTCCGTGACAGCCCCAGCAGCGGCAACATCCTGAACTCTATTTTCCTGTGAGCCTACAACGTGGGAAAATACATCTGTTAGGCGTATGTTATTGAAAGGGGGTATGTGCATATTTTAACCGGTAACCATGGGTGTGACCATACTGCAGTCGTGGGAGCAACCATCCCTGGTCTGCAATGCACTGTTGCCAGGGACCTGCACTGTTGCCAGAGCCCAGCCGCTGCACTTTGCCACCCACACTTTGCGCAGCCAGGTGACAGGTGGCAAGACTCCCACGGCCCGAGCACTTACCTGAGCGTAGGTGTTGCTCAGCCTCTGCAAGAACCTCCTCTCGCGACGCTGACTAGGTTTTCCACACGTAATAAGACTATTCCCCATCCAGTGGCTCTATCGTTTCTTCAGATTTGGTTGAAAACCGGAAATACACTAATTTTTAGCGCCTCTGCAGAACAACTGCGACTTCACTTCTCTGGCCGCGAACCTGATTTTCGGTGCCTCCGCACAGAAGCGTTAATTGGAAAATAGTCAAATGGAACTTTTGCCGTTGATTGACAGAATATTGTTGATATTATAAAATACTTTTCGTTGGATTTTGGCTCCGTGTTGTTTGACGGCAACCTGCTGCCGTTGTGCACCTTGGAAAAGCCAACTGTGTTTTCCAGGCAGCGAAAGACCGAAAACTAGCCACCACTTGCAGCACACAGCTGTGTATCTAATAATGAAAATTTGATTGCCGCTGCAGAGATACTTCCAGCACGCATGCACCTCCCTCTCTCCCTCTCGCTCACACGCACACACTCACCCCAAAGGGCCAGCGCAGTGTAAATTGAATAAAAGGTAAGGGCTGTAGAAGCAGCAGGGACCAACGACTCTCAGCATCAAATGAGCACATAAAAGACGACAGTGTGTTTTTAATTCTGTTGTTTTCGAATTTGTTTGCCTTTCAGTGTATTTTTTATTATATTATAATTCTCTGCGCCGCAACTGCGCCGGACATTTCTGCTAAAATAGGTCACTCAAAGAGTGCTGGTGCCCAACCTATATTAATACACTTTGGACATGCGCTCTGTGAATTACTTCTCTTGCTCTTTTGCTTTTTGCTTCGAGAGAGACTCTTTTACTGCGTTCTATTTTGTTTATGTTTGCTGCTGCTTGTGACCCACATACAGAAAAACGGCGTCCATGAGGGGCGGCCTTGATGTGAGAGAGGGAGAGCGATTACAGCAACTACGTGGAAATGAGAGAGGAACATACATATCTACGTGTATGTATGTATAAACAAAGCTGCGTGCGCAGCTGCATTTTGTGCACATATGTATGTATGTACAGCTTAAAGCATAGAGTGCGTACCTTTGACATTTGAGGATCTGGACAAATGAACCTTCTGTGTATGCAAACTGTACAGCTTAAAAAATGATTAATTACCAGGCAGCTTACTCTTTACTCACCCTCGCCAATTAATCTGCACGCTGAAAATAATGAAAACTGCCAGGAACGAGTCAAAGGGTCGGTAACTGATTTCAAATTTATTTGTGTGCTTATTGCCTCTATTCGACTTCAAACCAGTTTCAGACGAAAAAAGTATGACTAAATGGTACTTTGCAATGGAATGGATTGAATGCTTTGTTCCGCTTTTCGATTGACATAACCTCTAAATATGGAGGTGTTGGTAACGGTTCCTCGTGCATTCGTTGTTCTATTAATGGATTGAAATTTTAACCTTTATAGTTAAAGCTGATTTAATTCGAACTTTCGACTCAAGTGGTAAAGCAGTTTAATTAGACTACAGAAATACCATATAAATAAATCAACACTTGTTAGTTAATTACTACTTATGGAAGGTATTCTCAAAGATTGTTGCAAGGCCTGCAATTCCACGACGTCAGCTAACTAATCATTAGGATTCCTAACTGCAGGACGGCATTAACTGCCGCGATGTGTGGGACTATATATAAGCCGATTGGCAGTAAGGTCCCAAAGTACAGTACAGGAGCAGTTGGCCACGATGAAGAACGCCGAGCCAAGGAACCCAATCAGGATGGAGGACTTTCTAAGGCCTCAAATGTTCCAAAAGTGGACCCGGTTGGTGCACTTCGACTGGAAGCGGGATGGTGACAATCGTCTGGTGAACTCCTCCTCGATAGCCTTCTGGATTTCAGCGATTTTAAATTTGCTTTTCTTTGGCCTCAACGGCTGGGACATCATCCGTCATTTGTCCTCGGGGGGCAGGCCCTCCAATCAGAACCCGCCCGTGATCAGCATTACCATTTACTTCTCGATCCGAGGACTGATGCTCTTCGTGAAGCGTCGCGAAATAATCGATTTTGTCAATGCATTGGATCGCGAGTGTCCGCTTGAAACTCAGAAGCAGCTGGAAATGCGTCTGGAGCGCACGTACAAATCCTTCTGGCAGCGCTATCGATTCCTGCGGGTCTATGTACACTCGACAGGGCCAATCTTCTGCTGCCTGCCGCTGGCCGTCTATCTGCTGACCAACCAGGGCTTCGGGGCGCCCATCACGCAGCACAATCAGCTCCTCGGCGGCTGGATGCCCTTCAACTTGAGGAGAAACCCCAGATTCTACCCTCTGGTGTGGCTGTTCGATGTGTCGTGCACCACCTGCGGTGTCTCCTTTTTCCTGACCTTCGACAACCTCTTCAACGTAATGCAGGGGCATCTTATCATGCACCTTGATCACCTCTGCAGACACCTAGAGGCCATCAATCCCGCTGACAGTGTTACCAATGAAGTGGAATTTTTCGCTGATCTGAGGACCCTAGTGCAGCGTCAGCAGCTCCTCAATCGGCTGTGCGGTCAATACAACGACATCTTCAAGGTGGCCTTCCTGGTGAGCAACTTTTTAGGAGCCGGATCGCTTTGCTTCTATCTATTCATGCTCTCGGAAACAACGGATCTGTTTATGATTATCCAGTACATAACTCCCACCATGGTGCTGGTGGCCTTTACCTTTGAGATTTGTCTGCGCGGCACCCAGCTAGAGGAGGCGGTGAGTCATCAAGTCAATCAAGTACGAGAATTATATATAATTGTATACTTTTATCTTCCTTTAACAGTCTGCACGCATAGAGTCATCGTTAAGTCAACAGGCTTGGTACATGGGAAGCCAAAGGTATCGCAAGTTCTTTTTCCTGTGGATGCAGTACTCCCAGCGAACCCAGAAGCTCGGCGCCTTTGGATTGATGGAAGTCAACATGGTGCACTTTACCGATGTGAGTAGATAAACTCATAAATAGTTGTAATATTGCATATATGTATTATCTTCATTTTTAGATCATGCAGCTGGCCTATAGACTCTTTACCTTTCTAAAATCGCACTAGGAAATGCCATCAAACCTCTGGCTAAGTTTCTCAATATATCTGACTCTTTAGGAGAGACTTTCAAGTGAACTATTCTCTCATTTAAGCTTTCCATTCGGTTTATTCAGAGTGATCAAAGTTACGTTTATAAGTTGGTAAGATATAATACAATAATTAGGTAGAGCTTTTGAGCAAATCGTCTTCAGGGAGACCCGCCGCCAGTAATCCTAAACCCTTAGTAAAAACTATTCCTGAGCACCTCCAGTTCGCTGCACCTATGCCTACGGATGTGGCCTCGTATGAGTATTCCTGGCCATTCGCAAAGATGAGCGTCGTGGACCGCCGGCGGTTCCAGTGGAGAGTCGGGGTAGACGTGGATTAACGGGCGGACCCATTACGCGATCCACAGGATCCGCATGCATCTCGATGGGCGGCAAAGGAGAAGCCGGAGACCACTCCGAGCTGGAGCTGGAGCCTGGTGAATCGGAACTGTGTGGCACACAAAGGGATCATTGGACATTGGATCAATCAAAGATGCGAGTGGACTCTTACCCCGCTGTGTAGATGGGCGGCAGCTTCTTCTCGTAGCTGCTGGTGCTGGGCGTGACCACGCCGGCATGGATCTCCTGCTGATAGAGCCCGTAGAGCTCCCGCAGCTCGTCCGGCAGATCCACGTTACCCTCCTCGATGAGCCGCCGCTGCGAACTGATAATGTCCTCGCACAGACGCCGCTGCCGCTCGGCGCGGAGCAGCTGGAGGTCACGTCGTCGCAGCTCTGCCTGGCGGGCCAGTCGTTCCGCCTGCAGAGACACCTTGTCCGCCTCCAGCTCGTGGACGCGACAGAGCAGGGCCAGTAGCTCTCGCTCCTCGTCGCTGCTGATGCGCTCTGGCAGTTCCTGCAAAGCAAAATGAAATTTGGATGAAGTCCGCAACGCAGTTGGAAAGTGTGCAAACTGACATCCTCCAGCTTGACGCCCTTCTGGCGACACTGCTCCAGCTCCTGCTCGGTGCGCTCGCGTATCTCCTTGTAGCGTCTGTTCTCCTTCTCAATAGCCGCCAGCTCGCCCCAGGCATTCTTCAATGCCACCGATCCCTCCGATTCGACATCTGTAGAGGAAAAATCAATACTCTGCAGGGATTCGTATCGAGGAACACTTACCGTCCTCGCCCATGGCATCGTAGAGCTTGCCAATACGTCCCTGCCAGTGGGAGATGATCATGTGCTGCCGCTCAGCATCCAATTCGAGACCCAGTAGATGGCTTTCGGCCTCGAGCAGCTTGCGGCGTAGCTTCATCTGTTGCTTAAAGGTGAGCACAATCTGCTCCCGCAAGTACCGCAGCTCCGTCTTCCTTTGATCATCGGGCTGCTCCACCTCCACTGGTGGCTGCTGAATGCTGGCTGTTGTCGCCGTAGCCATCGTCGTCGTCGTTGCTGTTGTCATTGCAGCTGCTGCTGCTGCTGCTGCTTTGCCGCTGCGTGGCCTATCGGTCAGCATTTTGGTGCGCAGGCGGGAGACCTCGTCTCTGAGCTCTGAGACGAGGCTCTGATAGTGCTTGGTGGGGAAGTCCTTGAACTCGTCAATGTACACGGAGTTCTGCAGCTTGGTGGTGATGCTGTTGGCGCGATCCGCGTACACGAGCGTGTTCTTCGTCTCGTCACGGTGTTTGCTCTCGGGCGCCACGTGGGCGATCATGACCGTCTTGCAGCGGCCGCTCAGCGCCTCCTTCAGCAGGCGTGTGAGCTTGGAGTCGCGGTAATTGACATAGCGAGCACCTCCTGACAATGCGTTGATGCAGTTGCCCAGCGCCAGGAGACTGCGGTTGATGTGTGCCCCCTCCTGGAGTCGCTTGCCCCGGTTCTTGGTCTTCTTGGCCCGCTCTGAGCCGGCCAGATCGGTGAGGAAGAGCCGCCCCTGCTTGGTGCCCAGCGGAGTGCGCGTCTTCACCATGATGCTGAGCAGGGCGTGGCTGCGGGACGAGGTCTGGTTGGCGGCCGTCGGCTCCATGGTCCTGGCCTTGTTGCCCTTCAGCAGCAGTCCCACCACCTCCTTGCGGCTGGACGTGGTGATCTCCGACAGACCGGCCACCGTGATGCGCTGTCCGCGATTATCCTCGCGCAGCTCCAGCGGTCCGCCCGGATTCAACAGATCGCGGATGAGCTCGTTGTAGATCTCCAGATACGAGATGGACACCTTGCAGGCCCCTTCCTCCTCCACGGACTCGATATGCGCGAAAATGTCCTCGATGGCGCGCACCATAAGCCCAATGTCCTGGCTGCTCACATCCGGTTCAAAGCCAGAGGCGGCGGTGGGCGGGGCACGGTCACTCGTAGCTGGTTTCTTGCGCGGCACAGGGCCGAGCATGGTGTGCGTCTTACCGGATCCAGTGGCTCCATAGGCGAACACGGCCGCATTGAAGCCGCTGAGTACATCGCGCACCAGCGGCGCCGTTGTCGTCTTGTACACCTGCTCCTGTGTGTCGTTCTCCCGGAACACATGGTCGTAGGAGTACTGCCGCGGACGATTCTTGCTGCCATCATCGTACAGCAGCGATCCACCGGAGATCACCTCAATGCAGCGTTCAGCAGCCTCCAAGCTGGGACGCACTCGAACTGCCACCTAAAACGAGAGGATTCCATATTGAATATGTGTCTGTGTTTATCCTCCCGCTTTGACCTACCACTAGACGCTCATCCTGTCCGGTTTGGGCCGTTGCAATGGCTCGTCCTTGGGAGGATGTGCTGCCCCCACTGCTGCCCGACCAGCTGCTAGCTCCCGCACTGGCGGCCATATCCAATTGACTGTCGCTGGTCGAATGTCCTTCGATGGACACGTGCCGCCTGGCCTGGCTGATGACCTGCCGAGGAACCACCAAACAAAACTATTACAAATTGTGTCAATTTGTTGTCAACAATCGTAGAAATGTCATCAGCCCGGCAACACCCTCGCTGGCACGCTGTCCTAATGGATTTGTAAATTTGCGCGCCAAGGTCTTGCCCCGAATGGGTTTCGAAGCAAGGGGCAGGGCCAGGGGCTTCTCCTATAAGTCCTTAGGGTTCCCCGTTTACCTTTGTAGGAGCACTTCGAGTTGGCGTGAGCCATAAATCAAGCCGGGAACTTGAACACCCCGAAAGTCGCTGCGTGTCTTGGCATGCAAATGTTCCGGGAGAGGGTACAAGAGTTCGATGTCAGGTCATCGAGTGGGTACTGTACCAAGACACAATGAACTGGGAAAGTCCCATGAACCTGTCCAAAACCTACAGCCTGCACATACAACTTCAAGGTTTAAGGAGAGAAATTGATGGCTTTTGGAATTTTTTTTGTGTTTTTCACACTCAGAAATTAAGGTGTCAAGCTGAAAGATTACTCTGCTTCAAGCCCATCCAAAACCCCTGAATAACTGAATCGTTTTGAATCCAATTCTTGTCATTCAAAACCCATGTTCCCATAGCTCTCAACCATTCAAAGTCTTTTTCTAAATGAAGGACTTCCCTTAGACCTAGAGTCTACTGTCTAACAATTGTCTTTCCTTTAATTTATCCATTAGACAAGCCTTTCCAAAATCCCTTTAACCTACCACTTCAGGCTACCAGCAATCACCTCTAACCCCCATAAGCTGTCACCACAGCCCATCCCATAACTATTTAATTTGGTTGAGAGCTGCTTAATTATAAAACGTGTGTGGCCATCGAAGTTGTGTGGTGCCAAGTGAAAATACATTATTAACTTATAATTTCATGTCCAGTGACTGTCATGAATATGTTATGGAACAGCACAGAGAGCATTCGCGGCACTTGCTCCTCAAATATGTACACAAATTATAGGCCTCGAGTGTCAACAAGAAGGGACATGGGCATGTGGGCTCGCGTAGGTGCCACTCTTGAGGGAGTCCTTCGACCCATGGGGCGCGTCGAACGTTGAGGGATTCCGCCTAACAACTAATTTGATAATATGTAGTACGTAAAATCGATTCAAATAGTTTAATGAGCGCCAAACCAATACCACGGAGAATCCAACCCCCGAAAAAGAGTCCAAAACAAGCGGCGAGTGGAGAGAGACCTCAACACTTGTTTTCCCCGTTCTCGTTTCATATTCTACGAGTATGACTGGCTTTTTGTCGTTTATTGAATTTGTGTAAATTGCCAGCAGACACGACAGCCGACGGACAGGTGAACTCCCGAAGTACTGCCCATGCGGATACATGTCGTCCTTTGGTATGCCATTGGGTGGTTAGATGGACTCGGCCTACGTGGTTTGGCTTTGTCTTCGTTTGTGGCTAACGATTTTAATGTTCTGGTATGGCGCGTTTTGATTTGCCTCTCTGCTCTGCGGGCTACTGAGGTGGTAATATTTGTACACCACATGCCGCCCTCGTTTTAGTTTTTTCCAACCATAGTGGAGCTCATTAGTGGACATCGGGAGTGGGAATTGGAGCAGTGGAGGAGTGGGGATTTGAGTGCCTTTTATGAGCTGGAACCACTGCGCGACTGGGTTCAGAGTCCTGCCGCAGGCGCATGGCGCTTCCAACGCATCAATCGTAGATAAGTAATAACATGTGGCAAAGACTCTTTATGGTTAATGATTTTGACAAGCCGCCCGCCTAATGAGCCAAACAATGAAAAGCCTTTCAAGAAAAATAAGGGACCCTAAACTGACACACAAAACAAATAGGTTTTCCACGTAAATGGAGGCTTTAGATAGAGATCCTATTGGAAAATAAACCACCAAAACGTGGAAAATCAATTGAAATAACGCTTTAGATAATTATCTAGAAAAAGAAAACAAATGTTGCTTTTTAGAAGCAGATCAGAAATTACCATTTGTATATATTTCTGGATATATATTTTTGGACAATATGGACGTAATTAGAAGGTTTAAAATTAGAATTAGAAGGTATAAAAATGAGAAATTAACGTAGACAAATCTTTCAGGAATGTGGGACCAATTCAATGTAACAAAATTTCGACTGTAACCATTGAATAACTGATCCAAAAAGACGTTTCCAAGCATAAGCAATGCTTCAGAATAAATCAGAGAAAGCTGAACAATGATAAGTCGATAGATGTCATCTATATTGCTTCGTAGAAGTGAAATACCCTTAGGAACGTATTAAAATTAAGACCAAGCTATGATTTCCATGTCTTAATAATATGCACAGACCCAACAAACAGCAAACAGGCCAACCCAAAGAAAGGCTTCAGAAAGTCTTTCCCCTTGGAACAAACAAGCGTTGACGAATCGTTGTAGCCGCAGTACATTTATGGCTTCAAAAGGGAGTTCACCCTCTTCCCCAGAATGCTCCTCTGGTTCCACCTAACACCAGAGCTCCGTCTAATCACAGTTCAAGCAAAGTTGCCCAAAGGTTTAGACGGTAATTACCCACAGGGGAACGTTGCGTATACGCAGCAGGCTTGTGATTGATGGACAGGATTTACTTAATTACACGAAAGCCATTGCTCTGGCCACCTCCCACCATGGCTATTTTTAGGCTGCTCATCAGGTAAAGTGCCCAGCCCCCTGTTGCTGTTGCATTTCCAGCTAAAGTGACGTCATGCAGGTGCGAAAACTTTAACCTTCATTAAGAGGGGTTAGGGAAAAACACGAAAACGTGTGGTATGTAGGGAAATGCTGTGCGTGATAAAGTCTCAAGAACTTGGCCAATAAGTGGGCCAACTTGTCCGCATTGTTTGGTACACACAGTCGGACCGAAAAGTATTCGCGTATCTCACACATTCGGCACACAACAAAATGGCCAATGGCTGGCAACAAGACGGAAGAATGGGGATGGGGTCTGGCCCCAATCTCTGACATGAAATAATGTAATATTTTACAGTTGAGCTGAAAGCTGAAAGCAAAATCCGATTCGAGGATAAGGCAACCCCCAAGTAGGTCAATTAAATGCGGAGTTCCTGCAGAGTTCCTCTCTCGCGTATTTGCAGAACCGCACTCAAAGATCGATTATATAAAGAAAACATTTGATAACAACTTTTGAAGCACCTCTGCAAAATGGCGCACTTACAAATAGTTTTTAGTTTCGTTATATCCGCTTTGTTCTTTGCTCTTTGCTGTGTCACTGCACCCGAAACCCGTCGAAACTTTACCGTCGAAGAGTTTTTTAAAGCGGAAGGTAAAACCAAACCGGTGAACGTACGAATCGGGTTACAAAAAAAAACTTCCGAGTCACAACCAGCCTGAACCTTTCGCGTCGACGGACTACACTCAACTGGTCAGAACTAACGAAATTATAGGCATAGCAGGACGTGTCCTGGCCCGAGCCCAAACTGGCTCCTCGCTTGGGTGGCACAATCAATTGTTGTTGTTGTTCTTCGTGGGGGGGGTGTTGTTCCATTCGGTTGTTTTTCGTTTGTGAATTGTTGAAATGCTAATGCGCCATTTTGCATACATTTCAGGTGGAGTTTGTGCAGAAGTTTTGTGGTCCGGCCCGGTCCGGTCCTCGCATCGTGCGCTGGTCAAGTGTCGGATCCGAACAACTATTTCTTGGCGTTTGTCGGGCTCCACTTTAATAATTGTCGACAAATAAGTAAGGCATTCTCGCGAGGCTTAGCACATTTTATGCAAATCACTCTGACACAATCGTCTGTCGGACGGCATGTCCAAATGGTGAGGCATTTCCGCCACGTCAACCTCCAACCTCCACTATTCCTCCAAAAATAATAAATGCGAGAGTTTTTCCACATATCACCGCGCAGCAGTCGTCCATTTCCTTGATGCAGACTTAAAGTTTTCGCTGGGAAAACAGGACAAGACATTGAAATGCATAAATGTTTATGGAGCAGCCGATGTCGATGATTATGATTGATTGATTGACTGACTGACTGATTCGGGCGAGTGGTCTAAATAAAAAGAGTGTTGGCATACCCACAGCTATGCATGCATGCCATCCATTACTCCCCCGAATTGATGCATGTCCAAGGACTTGCATTTGCATTTCACATTTTGGCAGGGCCTCCCTGCCAATTAAGAAATTTTCTCTTGCTGGCACACACACGTGAAGGTCAAGACAAATTACTCGGTCAAGAGTACAAGGACTGGCGCCGTTTGTAGTAATTGAAAATTGTTTTATTAGCTATTATTCAAATACGAATACGGGTACGAGTACGAGTACATGGTAGAGCGTAGAGCGTGTTGCATATTGTGTATAGATTTGATTTGATTCCGTTTTCCGGGCAATTCCATTTCGAACATTTCGACTAAATATATAATTGCAAACAATATACAATATCTATTCTCGTTGCGGTTCTTAAAAGTGCAGAGACAAAGGCTAAAGCAAACGAATATCTAACGAATTAAATGCTAACTGAAATTTGTATAACCTACGGCATTATTGCTGGATGGATGGGCCGATCCAAGCGGGGGGGTAATAAAAATCCAAGCGGAAGGCAAACAAAGAAAAATCGCTGGACAAAACTGTGGGCAAATATTTGAATTGGATTGGCGCTGGTGTGGGTGGACAGGACTTGAATTCGTCTAGATCTGGGCTTTTTCGAATGTCTTTCGTTATTTAAGATTAACTTTGCTCTTTGCAATATTTTCTGCTACTAAAGTGTAAATAGTTTGAGTTTGCAGCAAGCGCACGCTCTGAGGGCTGTCTGCACCGCTAAATGCTGTCCCTTCGGTCTCCCATTCGACGGCAATGAGGAGTGTGGACAATGGAGCCTGTGCTTGATATTAGACTAAATGCAGCATTAAGGCTGATGTCTGACGAGTTTGTTAATGGAATACTTGCTCTCGCCTTGTGTCTATGTATGTGTTTTGTGTACGTGTGTGTGAGTGTAATTGTATAATTGTCCTTATCAAAATATGCTCAAAATCGTTTTCGTCATTGTCAAACGAGTCTGTTCCGGTCTTCAGATTAACCAAAGAAATCGCAAAAAAGAATTTAGTTAAGTCTCGAGCAGCCTTTGGGTGCGGCTGAAGACGGGAACAGGCCAGATAATGCAGATTATTGTAATGGTTGGCATGTTTTTAGAATACGAAGCAGCTCTAATTAGACGCAGGGCTCCACATAGTTGCCCGGAAAGAGACCGGTGACGCCATCCATGACGCCCTCCCACCAGCCATCGTCGTTCTTCTTGAGCACATACAGCACCGAGCTCTCCTGGAAACTAAGCTCATCGTCCTTGTCCGCATAGTAGTCATAAATGGCCACCACTGAAATAAATATGAAATAAATATTCTGTTCTACATTGTATCTATCCCTAGAGATCCGCCTCACCCTTTTCTATAAAGTTCTTGGGCACCCAGCCAGGCAAATTCTGATCCTCGGGCACAATGGGCGCCAGTTGTGGGCCCGTCGAGGTGCGTGGCCTGCCAAAGTCCTGATGCTCATCCTCTGGCGGCGGCGGTGGCGGCAATGGCGGTGACTGCGAACCCGGACGTGCAAAATTCAAGCTGAAATGATTCCTGTGGCAAAGTCAAAGTTAATCAAGGTCTGGGGATAAATAAATGTGTGGGATCACAATGCAGTTGCATGCAATTTACCGATTCGGATTCCTTGTGTGTTTGCATGGAGAACAATGAAATGAGTTACATTTATGTACAGGCAGATGCAGGGGATGCAGGTGGCGGGATGCGACTTACCTGTTGATGTTGCGTCCCAGGGTGTGCATTCCGATGTGGCTCTGCTCGGTCATCTCGTGCTGCGACACCGTCAGCGGCGAAGGAGGAGCTGCTAAGTATCAAGAAGCGTTTATTAGCCTTCGCTGGGGTTTAGTCTCACTTCGAGTTAACTCACGTGGCATACTGCTCCTGTCGTCGTAGGTTGTAGGCGGCGGCGGTGGCAGCGATTGCATCATGCCCGCTGAGGGTAGATTCACGTGCGTTGCTATCTGCTGGCTTGGCGGCATCGGCAGCGCACTGTATCCCGCGGCACGCTCATTGCCCGCTGCCCCTCCGCCCATGGTGGTGGTGGTCATCGTGGTGCTGGACGAGGCCGTCGACATGCGCTTCGGATGCCCAATGGGATAGTTGGGTGCATAGTGCGAGGGCACCTGCGGCGGATTGACCACCGGCGGAGTGCGATACTCCCGCGAGCTCTTGCCCAGTGTCCCGGTATTGCTCACCGATTTTCCCAGGGTGCCCGTATTGCCAGCCCGCGACATTTGCGGCGGTGTCGGTGGCTTGGTGGTGGGCGGCGGACCCACCGAAGGCGGTATTAGGGATTGCACAGACCCGTGGCTGGAGCCTCGATGCTTCTGACGCACTTGATGCTGGGCAGAGTTGATGCCATGCCCGATCTCGTCCAGAATCGAGTAGTCGATCGGCTTGCGCACATACTTGATGGGCTTCTCCGGATTGATGGGGGCCACGATCTTGAATTGCCGCGAACTCACTTTGTTGGCCGTCAAGACGCCAATTTCCCTGGAAAAAAGGATCTCAATATCGCACAGAACATAGGGAAAACACTCCACATACCTCCTGGCCACCTTCTCCTTGTGAATGTGCACCGTCTGGGCGATGTGATTCATCTGCGACTCCATTTCGCTGAGTTGCTGCGCCTGCAGCTCCAGCAGCTGCATGTAGCTGTAGGCCAGGGTGTTGATCTGGTAGGCAACGCTGGCCAGCGATTGCGTGGTGTAGTTTTTGGTAGCCTCAAGTGCCCCCTTCTTGTTGTCCGCCCGATAGTAGGTGTCCTCACAGTAGTCGGCCACCCGCTCGAGATTGGTGTAGCTGTCTCGCAGGCTCTGGCGGCCGTCGGGGATCTCGGTGCGTATCAAAGATGCTAGTTCGTCCATTATGTTGTCACTGGCCATGGGGGCTTCGGTTAACATGGGTGTGGATGCTGCCGAAAGATGAAAAAACCATCAGCTTTGCTTCGTTTTTCATGGCATGTAAACATTTGGGGCGGTGACTGCCCTCTGCTGACGTCGGCAGCGACAGCGACTGCGAGTGCTGCGCCAGCGACAGAACCACTCTGATTGCCCACCAGACCGTGGATAAACGCCGAAACCTAATTGCTACTCACTTTATTTACTATGCGATTGCACTATAAATGTGTTTTTGTGTCGATTTGGTCGCGTTAAATGCAATTAAATGCAGTTTTTTCTTTACATTTTTCCAAGCGCAGCAGTGTGACCGCGGAATTATCGATATACCGTCAGACCTTCAAAAATATACCATCACATTTTAAAAATATACCGTAAGATACCGTAGTTTTAAATCATATTCCTCGATGTTCATGTTCTTTTTTATATTATGACCTTGCAAAGACATTTAACACTGAAACAATAATTTAATTCGATTGAAGAATCAATTTGGCTTATTATAAATACTCCTGGAATTGGATTATATACGTTATGACCTTATATTTTACAAATTTGTATTAGAATTTTTTATTTGATGGTCAGGAAAATTCTCTCCTTTGCCTAATTAGTGTAATGGACGGTCTTATTCCACCTTTAGCTTGATAATATTTCAGAATAACAATCGTCCTCTTCTTGAATGCTTCTCGCATCAGATTTATATTTTGGCATCCCACCCTTGATCCCTCTTCCAGGTCACACACCTTGCCACTTTCTTCGACGTTATCGCTACTTGTCCAACACTCAAAAATACAATACAGTATATTATAGTCATAACCATCTAAATTTTAGTACATTTCTGAGGGTCGGTCACACTGAACCCAGCATTAGTAATATTTTTTCGTCAAATTGAGTTAGCTACCTTTAAAATGTCTCATCAAACGGGAATCAGAGGTAAGTTCTTATCTGAAACTGTATAAAAACCCAAGATTAACATTCCATTGTTCTTTGGCAGCCAACGAGCAACTGGCAAAGCTGTTTGGTAAGGCCAAAAATGGGAAATTGCGAGTGCTAAAAGTATCCATAGAGAATGGTGAGTGTCAAGTGTATATATACACACCAAAATATACTGTGTATCCAGTGATAACCACACGGCTTCCGGCCTCTCTTTCGCCCCCGCAGAGCAACTCAGCTGTAGCGCCACAGCTGATGCGAAGAAGGATTGGGAGCGAGACTACGATAAGTTGCTGGGGCCGCTGCTGGAGGAGAATGTGCCCTGCTATATACTGTACCGTCTGGACGCGAAGATACCGCTGGGCCACAGCTGGCTGTTGATCAGCTGGATCCCGGACACAGCCAGCATACGCCAAAAGATGGTGTACGCCTCCACCAAGGCCACGCTCAAGACGGAGTTCGGTTCCGCGTACATCACAGAGGAGCTGCATGCGACCACTCTGGAGGAGACTACGCTGGAGGGCTACCGCAAGCACAAGCGGGACTTTGCGGCTCCAGCACCGCTCACCACGCGCGAGGAGGAGCTCCAGGAGCTGCGCAAGACGGAGGTGCACACCGAGATCAGCACGAACACACGGCAGCAGACGCTCGGAGGGATCTCCTGCCCCCTAACGGATGCCACGGTGGCCGCTGTGCAGGATCTGGTGCGCGGCAACTACGATTACTTGCAGTTTCGCATTGATCTGGAGGAGGAGCGCATCCATGTGTCCCATGCGGCCCAGGTGGAGCTCAGCGCTCTGCCCAAGCAGGTGCCCGAGGATCATGCGCGCTACCATCTGTTCCTGTTTCGGCACACCCACGAGGGTGACTACCAGGAGTCGTATGTGTTTGTCTACTCCATGCCCGGCTACACGTGCTCCGTGCGCGAGCGCATGATGTACTCCAGCTGCAAGGCGCCGTTCCTCGAGCAACTGGCGGCCATGGGAGTCGATGTGGTCAAAAAGGTAGGTGGATAGCAGCTGCCATTCCGTTTGCACGGCTAATTGTTTGCTCCTCCAGCTGGAAATTGACAACGGGAACGAGCTGACTGAAGCCTACCTGCTGGATGAGCTGCATCCAAAGAAGATATTGCATCGTCCGGCATTTGCCAAGCCCAAGGGCCCACCGAATCGCGGCGCCAAGCGCCTCACGCGTCCCTCCAACGA